GGGAAAGGCCAGGTAAATTTTTTAAAAAATATTTTAAATAACAAAACAATTTAGAGTATGACATGCAACATGTTTCAACATCATTTCAGAGGAAGGAGGGGCTTTTGCACATAAAAAACCTAGGCTGGGAAAGTCTATAGAAAATAGGATGTCTGACATGAAGATAGATGCCTTCCAAGAGGATATATTGGTGAGTGGATAGATCTGAGAATGGATCATTTCTGTGCTGGGATGGCAGTCTAGACTCTGACTATCAGAACTGGGAAGTGGGACAGTATCCAGAATATGAGACTTGAGAAGGTGTGGCCAACACAAAATGTGTGGGTTGGAAACAACTTAGAATCAATGGGGACTGAGTTAGCTAGGGCCCATCAAATTAGAATATCAGACTTAAGATCACAGAAAGTAAGAGAGAGAGCCACAGGACTGAAACTGTCTGATTCAGTGATATGTGAACACAAGGAAGAAGCTAGAGACAAGAAAGTTAGAAGCAACAAAAAACTTAGAGGAAGGGATATAAGAGAAAAGAAAAGTAGTAGAAATCGCAAGTTCAGGACTAGCTTTGGCCATAAAACCACACAATGTCAGAGATGGGAGTGCTCCTAGAAGACAGATTATCAGAGTACCGATGGTGCTGAAAATACTCAATATCTTTACTGGGAAGGAGTCTTGTTTGTGTGCTTGGGGGTTGAAGTCATGGAGAAAGAAAGTTAAATTCAAAAAACATTTTATATATTTTGGGTATTTTAAATATTTTGGTATAAAAGAACACATATATTTCAATATAATTTCTAAAAGCAAAATGTTGCTCCTCTAAATTAAAGCTCATGTCCTGAATCACAAAGTTTAACAGAATCCAACTCTATTCCTAATCCTGCTCTAAAGGAAAATAATGAAAAGGAAAAAAAAATCTGTCAAAAATTAAATGCATGCAGAGCTTTCCTGGGGTACAGCTGCTATAGCTATTACTAATATTTATAATGAATAGGCCATATATATTTTTTTTAAAATAAGGTAAGTACACATGATCCATAATGGAAACAATTTATGATCTTTAATAATTGTATTCCTAATAAACATAAGTAATTTGATAAATTAAAATTGATTAAATAATTTAAGAGGAAAATAACTATTATATTACAGAAGGAGGTGCCTTTTGAACATAAAATAATTGAGCTGGGAAGATCTTTAGAACATGTAATATGGGGCAGCTAGGTGGCACAGTGGATAGAGCACCAGCCCTGAATTCAGGAGGACCTGAGTTCAAATCCGGTCTCAGACACATAACACTTAACTAGCTGTATGACCCTGGGCAAGTCACTTATCCCCATTGCCTAGCCAAAAAAAAAAAAAAAAGAACACGTAATGTGTGATGTGGAGGTACCTTTCAAGAGAATATATTGGAGGCTGGATGGAGCTCAGAATGGAAAATTTCTGTTCTGCGATGGGCTGTTGAGACTGAATATCAGAACTAGGAGCTGACAAAGAAGCCAGAATGGGAGACTTGAGAAGGTATGTCCAACACAGACTGTCTGAGCTTAGAGGCAATTTAGAAACAACAGGGCATAAGCTAGATTGTGCCTTCCAACGTAGAATATGAAACATCAGAGGGCCTTTAGAACAAAGAATGTGGGAGGTGGTCAGAACCAGAGAAAAAAATTGTCTGATACTATGGAAAATGTCAGAGCTGGGAAGTCATTTAGGAGAAGGAATATGAGAGCTCACAAAGCTCTTAGCACATACGATTTCAGGACTGGCTTTGGCTATGAAACATCACAGTGTCAGAGCTGGGAGGGCACTTAGAACATAAGGGTCACACAGCTAGTAAGTGTTATGTGTCTGAGGCCGCATTTGAACTCGGGTCCTCCTGAATCCAGGGCCGGTGCTCTATCCACTGCGCCACCTTGCTGCCCCTAGAAATTATCTTATTCTGTGGGATCTGAGAATACATAATGTGAGGTCCGGGAGAAATCAGAGAGAAGAGAATGTTAGAGCTGACAGAAAACTTAGAGGAAGGGACTGAAGAACCAGGAAAATGGCCTTAGAATAGCTAATTAATTTCAGGATTAGAATGAGCCATAAAACCACACAGTGTCAGAGTTGGGAGGGCTCTTAGAATATTGATGATCAGAGCTCAGATGGGCCTGAGAACACACAATATTATTGCTGAGAATGAGCTTTGTTTCTGTGCTCAAGAGTTGTAACTTATGGGGAAAGAAGATAAATCTGAACAATAAAGAAGTTTATTAAGCATATGAAATGCCACCTATATGACCATATAATTTATATAAGCACAATAGTGACACTCTGGATTAAAACTCAGATCCTGACTCACACAGTCAAAGGGGAAATTGGAATATATCATGCCTAATTTGGATTAACAGGAAAACAATGAAAAGAGAAAAAATGGACAAAAAGTAATTGCATACAGTGTTTTCAAGGGGTAAGGATACTCTACATATGACTTTTCTTTTTAATGAGTGGACCATATTTATAAAAAAATAAGGTAGGTACACAAGATTCACAAGTAAAAAAATCTGTAATTTTACATAATTGTATTGTTAATATACAAGTGTCATTTAACATATTAAAACTGATTAAATAGGTGAAAAGAAAAAAAAACCTTTCAGATATCAGAAGAGAGAGTGGACTTTGAACCTGAAATGACAGGTCCGGGGGGTCTTTAAAAAATATAATGTCTGGCTTGGAGGTATTTTTCAAGAGAAGAGATTTGAGGGTGGATAGAGCGTAGACTTTAAAGGGTATGGCCAACACTGAATGTCTGAGCTTGCAGGCAATTTGGAATCAGTGAACCCTGAGCTATATGGGGACTTCTAACCTAGAACATCACTCTTGGGAGAGGGACTTTAACACACAGAGAGTGGAGGATGATCAGAGCCAAAGAACAGACACAGTCTCACTCTATGAGATGTGAGCACACAGAATGTCAGGCCCACGAGAAGCCAGAGAGAAGAGAATATTAGAGCTGGAAGGGCAGGCAGGAGAAGTCATATCGGGGCTAGCAAAGTTCTTAGAATACACAATTTTAGAATTAGTTTTGGAAATAAAAACACAGTGCTAAAGCTGGGAGAGCTTTTAGCACATAGATCATTGAGTTAAGATGGGCTTGGGAACATATGACATTGTGGCTGAGAAGTAATCTTGTTTATATGTTCATGGGTCCAAACTGTAGGGAAAGAAAGCTAAATTTTAAAAATATTTTAGAAGTATATTTCTGATATGAAATGCAACATGTATGGCACTATAATATCTATAGGCACAATGGTGATCCCCTCAATTAAAACTCATGTCCTGACTCACACAGCCAAAAAGAAAACTTGAAAAACAGCAGCTAATTTGGATTAAAACAATGTAAAGACAAAAAAATTAAAAGCTTCCATGTTTTCAAAGAGTAAGGCTGCAGTAAATATTACTACCGTTGTTAATGAATGGGGCTGTATTTATTGGGAAAAAAATAAGTACACAAGATTCACAGGAGGAAAATTTTGCAACCTTAAATAAGTTTATGGTTAATATGTATACGCTATTTAACATACTAAAACCGATTAAGGGAAAAGGAAAAATTAAACCCTAGGATATCAGAAGAGGGATGGGGACATTGACCATTAAATGACAAGACTGAGAGGTTCTTTAGAGAATACAGTATCTGACTTGGGGTTGCCTTTCAAGAGAAGATACTAGAGGATGGATAGAGCTTAGAAAGGAGAATTTCGGGGCTGAGATGGCATTCCAGGCTCTGAATATCAGAGCTGGGAGTTGACATAGAAGCCATACTATGAAACTTGAAATGATAAATCCAACAAAGACTGTCTGAGCTTGGAGGCAATGTAGAATCCATGGGGCCTGGAACCTGGGATATCAAACATGGGAAGAACTCTGGATCACAGAAAAGTGACAGATGTTCAGAGCCAGTGAACAGAAATTGTGTGATACTATAGGAAGTGAGGACACAGAATATGAAGCCTGGGAGGAGTCGTAGAGAAGAGAACGTCAGAGTCAGCATGGAAGGTAGAGTAAGTGATATTAGAGACAGCAAAAGCCTTAGAACATAGTATTGCAGGACTAGTTTTCACCATAGAATCACATGATGTTAAAGCTCAAGAGTTTTTAGAATATGGATTATCAGAGTTCAGCTGGTCCTGAGAACACACAGTATCAATATTGAGGAGTCTTTGCACATGCTTTGGGGAACAAATTATTGCGAAGGTAAGTTATATTTTAAGAATATTGGAAAAAGTATATTTATTCCATAAAATGCAACATATGTATCAATATAATATAAGCACAATGGTCATTTTCTGAATTAAAACTCATGTCCTGAATCACACAGCCAAAGTAGAAAATTTAATATGCAGTACCTAATCTAAATGAAAAGGAAAATAATGAAAAGAAAAAACTGACAAAAAAAGTAAAAGCATGTGGTTTTTTTTTCAAGGTTTAAGGCTGCTGTACATATTACTATTGTTACTGATGAATGTGATGTATTTATTGGAAAAAATAAGGTAAGTACACAGGATAGAATTCATAAGAAAAATAATTTGTAATCTTAAATAATTATATTGCTAATGTAGAGATGTCCTTTAATTGTATTACTAATATAGAGATGTCCTTACTAAAACCAATTAAATAAGTAAAAGGGGGAAAACAAGTCAAGATATCAGAGGAGGGAAGGGGCATTAACCATAAAATGACAAGGTTGTCAGGGTCTTTAGAAAATATAATATCTGAATTAGAAGTGCCTTTCAAGAGAATATACTGGAGGATGGACAGAGCTTAGAAAGGAGATTTGCAAGGCTCAGATACAGTGCTGGGCCTGGAGTCAGGAAGATCTCTGTTCAAATCTGGCCTGAGAACCTTAAAAACTATGTGACTCTGGGCCTGTCACCTAACCCACATTTGCCTCAGTTTGCTCATTTCTAAAGTGGGGATAATTGATAACATCTATCTCTCAGGGCTGTTGTAAGGATCAAATGAAAAAATACTTGTTTATTTTTGTTTTTATTTAATGGAACATAGCTTTATCAGTAAGTTATCCAACAAGTTAAAAAGTCTCAGATTGAGTCTCTATTTGTGTTTTTCCATTTGCTTTTTACTTTTTCCACTTTTTTTGCCATTTCTTTTTTGAGGAATTAGCTTTTTCTATATGAAATATATTTTCAGAATGCTGTCCTGTATTTTTAGGAGAGAAATTAAGTTTGCACTTAAATTTGGTGGAATTCTCCAAAACTTTGCATGGAGTATGTGGTGCTTGCACCTTGACGTTATTACCATAATGCTTGATTTGTTTTCTTCCGTTAATTCAGAGTTGTTTAGTCCCAAAGCAGGTTATACAGCATTGAAGACACAGTCACACCCTTGGCCAACTCCAGTGACTTTGTTTCTAACAACTTTTACCGTTCCAACGCTTCCACAGAGAAGTGCTCAAGAGTAGTGGCTTCTTCAATTTTGGAAGGGAGGTTGTTCCCCATAAATGCTGATCTCTTCGCCCTCAAAGGAGCGTCAGCTTGAAGTTCAGCACCGATGCGCGATCTCTCTGCACTCTGAACACCATTTCAGTGCCTTTTCAGCAGCAACATAAACAGTAATCCTTTTCTCTTCAGGTTGAACTTCATGTTTTAATGCAGCAATCTTTCTGGATAAAGTGCTCTTGGCTGCAATCAAAGAACAGAATCATACACATTCTGTTAGTCCTGACTCTTTAAAAAATGACTTCAGCTCTTTTTTTTTTTTTTTACAGGATACAGGTAAATTTCCCACTAATACCATGCTCTTATTGTTTCCTCTTTCCTCTGCCTTGCTGACTTGAATCTTCTTTCTTTTATTTACCTCAAATGAATAATCTGAATTATCAAGAATTTTACCATTTGATGTTTTGCTTCCCTTACAGCCTTAAGAAATTTTCCTTTTCTGAATTTTTTTCTTCCTCTTCCACTTCATGATCAGTGCATCCCAAAGCCGACATTTCCTCTGCATCAGAGAGCTCTTTCTTCCCTACAATTCTCTTTGCAAGTGCTTGTTCAACATCAGCACAGGTTCTTTGAGTGTGGGTTGCAATCTCATCTTCATCATGTTTTTATCTTCTTACTGTTAGCCTGGCTCACAGCCTCATGGATGGGTTGCTGCACCAGTAGAGCTGAGGAGTTATGCTAGGTGACTTGTGCCACCCTTGAAGAGCTTAAAGTTAGGGTTAGCACAGTGCCTGGTACATAGTAAACTCTATATAATCATTAGCTATTATTACTGATGATGATGATGATGGTTACAGGAAGCGGGAATTTATGCAGAATCTAGAACATGGCACTTGAGAGGGTCTATCCAGCACAGAATGTCTGAGCTTGGAAACGATTTAGAATCAATGTGGCCTGACTTGGATAGGACCCTCTAATCTAGATTACCAAACATGGGAGGAACATTAGAACACAGAAAGTGACAGATGGTGAGAGTCAGAGAACTAGAATTGTCTGATTCCATGGGATCTGAGCACACAGAATGTCAGACATGGGAGAAGCCATAGAGAAGAGACCATCAGAGCTGGGAAGGCACTTAGAAAAAGAAATATCAGAGCTAGGAAAGCCCTGAGAACATGCAATTTTAGGACTAATTTTGACCAGAGCTGAACTCTTAGCACATAGACTATCAAAGCTCAGACAGTCCTAAGAAAACCCAATTATGATTGCTGGGAAAGAGTTTTGTTTCTGTACTCAGAATAACAAACTTGGAGGAACGACAGGTAAACTTAAATAACAATAACAAAATATATTTAGGGTATGGGATGACATATATATGTCAGTAAAATTTATGGTGATTCTCTGAATGAACTCTCATGTCCTGAATCACACAAAGTTAAAAGATGAACATACAATAACTAATCCGGTCCTATTTTTAAAAAGGAAAAGGAAAAATAACGGAAAACATAGTAATTGCTTGCAGTGTCTTGATGGGTTAAAGCTTCTGTATATATCAATATTATTTTTGGTCAATATTTATTCAAAAATAAAGTACACAAAATTTAAAAGAAATAATTTGTGCTCTCAAGTAACTGAATTGCAAATACATTTATATATATATATATATATATATATATATATATATAATTTAATATACAAAATTGATTAAATAACTGAAAAAGGAAAAAAAAACTACCCTAGAATAGCAGAGGAAGGTAGGCACTTTAACCACAAAATATTAGTCTGTGGGTGTCTTTAGAAAATAGAGTGTAAGACGTAGCTTTCAAGGGAATATATTAGAGGACAGAGCTTCAAATGGAGAATTTCATGTCCTGGACAGCAGTCCAGGTCAGAATCACAAAACTGGAAGTGGACAGAGAAGTCAGAACCCTAGAAGGCATGAAGAACCTAAAATGTCTGTGCCTGGAGGTAATTCAGAATCAAGAGTTCCTGATCTAGATGGAGCCTTGGTTCCTGGAATGTCAAAGGTAGGGGTGGGGGAACCTCAGAACACAGAAAATGAAAAATGGTCAGAGTGTGAGAAAACATATTGTCTGATTCCATGGGATGTGAGCACACTGACTGTCTCTGTGGGTAAGGCAGGTAGAACAAGTGATTTCAGAGCCAGGAAAGTCCTCAGAACATCCAAGTTCCAGGCTAGCAGTGGCCTTAAAATTTCAGAGTGTAGGAGCTGGGAAGAACCTTGGAACAGAGACTATCAAAGTCTGAATGGCCCTGAAAACACACACGTCAGGTGATAAGGAGTTTTATTTCTTTGCTCAGAGTTCAAATGTAAAGTGAGGGACAAGTAAATTTTTTAAAGTACACTTAGTATAGAAGGTGCAATACATATTTCAGTAAATTTGTATCAGTACAATGGTAAATGTCAGTACTGGAAGAGCAGTCCAGCCTCATAACAACAAAACTGGGAGCTGATAAAGAAGCCAGAATATGAGATTTCGGAAGGTATGCCCAACATAGAATGTCTGAGCTTAGAGTCAGTTTAGAATCAATGGGGCCTGAGCTAGATTGGGGACATCCAACTTGGAATATCAAACTTGTGAGAGAATTTAGATAACAGAAAGTAAAAGATGGTCAGAGCCAGGGAAAAGAAACTGTCTGATTGTGTGGGATCTGAGCACACAGGATGCAGGTCTTGGAGTAGCCATACAGAAGAGAATGTTAGAGCCGGGAGAGAACACAGAGGAAGGACTAGAAGAGCCAGGAAAGCTCCTAGAACCTACTATCTCAGGACTAGTTTGGGCCATAAAACACACAGTGTCAGAGCCAGGAGGGTTCTTAGAATATAAATCTATATAATACATACATACATACATATATATATATATATATACACATATATACATACATATATATACATACATATATATATATAATCTATATTATATATAATCTATATTTTATATATATATATATATATATATATATATATATATATATATATATATAATATAAATATAAATATCCAACCTCAGATAGTCCTGACAGCATACAAAATAATTTTAGGGAACATGCTTCGTTTCTGTGCTCAGAGTTGCAAGTTATATGGAATAGTTGTAAAGTTGAACAATAAAAAAAGTTTATTTGAGGTATGTTATATTATGTTATGCTATATTACAGAATAATTTGCATTAGCACAGTGGTGATCTTTTGAATTAAAACTTATGTCCAGAATCAGAAGGCCAGAGGAAGTTCGAATATACCAAATCTAATCTGAATTTAAAGGAAAAAAGTGAAAGAAAGGACTAACAAGAAGTAATTTTATGCAGTGTCAAGGGGTAAGGATGTGCTACATATTTCTATTATTGTTAAAGAACGGCCTATATTTATTTTAAAAATTAAGGTAAGTAAAAAGGATTGAGAAAAGGAACAATTTGTGATTTTAAATAACTGTACTGCTAATAAATATATACCATTTAATATGCTAAAACTGTTTAATTAAGTGAAAAGGAAAAAAAAAACCTAGCATATCAGGACAGGAAGGCCTTTGAATATGAAATAACTAGGCTGAGAAGGTTTTTAGAAAATAGAAGCTCTGACTTAGAAGTACCTTTCAAGAGCATGTATTAAAATGGAGAATTTCCTACTTGGACAACAGTCCAAGCTCTGAATATTAGAACTAGCAGTTTATATAGTATCCAGAATATGATACTTGAGGAAGTATGTCTAACAAAGAATGTGTCTGAGCTTGGAGGGAACTTAGAATTCATGGGGCATGAGCTGGATGGGACCTTCCTACCTAGATTATCAAACCTGGAAGGAACTGATCAGAGTCAGAGAACTGAAACTATCTGATTCTGTAAGATCTGAACATATGTCAAGCCTAGGAGATGCCATAGAAAAGGGAATATCAGAACTGGGAGGGCACTTAGGAGAAGAAATATCAAAGCTTGCAAAGCCATTAGAACCTGCAATTTCAGGACTAGCTTTGACCATAAAATCGCATAGTGTCATAGCTGCTGGGACTCTTACAACATTGGTTACCAGAGCTCAGATGGTCCTGAGAATACACAAAATACATTGCTAAGAACAAGTTTTGTTTCTGTGCTCTGAGGTCCAATCTTGGGGGAGTGATAAATTCAAAAATCAATATAAAAATATATTTAGGATAAGATATGCAACACGTTTCAATATAATTTCTCTCAGTGCCATGTTGATGCTCTGATTTAAAATTCAGGTCTTGAAACACAGCCAATGAGGAAAGGTAAAAAGTGTATTACCTTAGCTAGATAAAAATTGAGAAAAAAAATTCATGCATTGCCTTAATCTGAAGGAAAAGTTAAATGACTTACAGGAAAAACTACTACACAGTAATAGTAGAGGGCCACAATTTATCCCTCTCAGACCTAAATAAATCTAACCATAAAATAAATAAGAGAAAAATTAAGAAGATGAATAAAATTTTAGAAAACTTAAATATGGAGAATATTTCATGGGAACTGAAAGGAATGCCCCCCATTTCTCAGCTAATCATGGGACATTCACAAAGACAGACCATGTATTAGGGGATGAAAACTTCACAAAAAATGCAGAAAAGTGGAAATATTAAACGCATCTTTTTCTGACCATAATGCAATGAAAATTACATTTCATAACCTAATCCTAAAGAATGAGTGGGTCAATTTCTAAAATATATAGAGAATTAAGTCAAATTTATAAGAATACAGGCCATTCCCCAATTGATAAATGGTCAAAGGATATGAACAGACAGTTCTCAGATGAAGAAATTAAAGCCATCTATAGTCATATGAAAAAATGCTCTAAATCATTATTGATTAGAGAAATGAAAATCAAAACAACTCTGAGGTACCACATCACACCTATCAGATTGGCCAACATGACAAAACAGAAAAATGATAAAGGTTGGAGAAGATGTGGGAAAATTGGACCACTAATGCATCGTTGGTGGAGTTGTGAAATGATCCAACCATTTTGGAGAACAATTTGGAACTATGCCCAAAGGGCTATAAAAATGCATACCCTTTGACACAGCAATAACACTTCTAGGGCTATATCCCAAAGAGAATTAAACAAATGGGAAAAGGATCCACATGTACAAAAATATTCATAGCAGCTCTTTTTGTGGTGGCCAAGAATTGGAAATTGAGAGGATGCCCATCAATTGGGGAATGGCTGAGCAAGTTGTGGTATATGAATGTAATGGAATACTATTGTGCTATAAG